AATAAAAAAAAAATACACGACTTGACTTTGGAAGTTTAATATCTTCAATCGCATAACTTCAAGAGAAACACTTGTATACTTTGAATAATTTTGGAGTGTTTGCATAAACATTAACTAATTAATTTAATTTTCTCTGTAGTTCATGCACTATAAGGAATTGACCAAGTAATAATATGCCTAATGGCCATACATTGCGTATTTACATGGAGTCATTCGTATCTTCATCGCCGATGGCCTTAATTACACTTCTTCAGTGCTATTGTGAAAGCAACTTTTGGGGCATATTTCAGAGCTGCAGGGCTGTCCAAACAGCAATGGGCTAATTAACACATGGGCAGAGTGGGCGGTTTTATGGGGGCGTGGCATGGCTGCAACGACGGCAGTGAAAGCGGGAATTCCCCGGTGCCACAACAGGCCAGAGTTATGCATTAATAATGCAATCGCAAAGCAGCCCAAAAGCCAAAACGGGAGCAAGCTCATTTGGTGGCACACGCATCGCCGCAGGCTTTTGTCAGCCACTGTGTGCCGTTGTGTATGCGTTGCATACTTTTTCGAACAGGAGCAACAATAGCTGCAGATGGCAACAACAAATTATAATGCAATTGCAAATGCTCGTCGTTTGTTTCATTCTGTATGACTGTGTCCGTGTCCGAGTGCCTGTGCGTGGGTAAATTTATGCGTTCTCTCTGCATTTCCCGCATTGACATTTACTTGGGGTTATTACCAATGCCGGGGGCCGGTCGTTTCGCATAAATGCAAACCGGCAAGCTGAAAACTGAAAACTGCAATTGTTCCGAATAACAGTATTCATTCCGCACACCTTTCGCCCCTTGTCTCTCTACTGTCATTGTGGTTTTTGGCATTTTTCCGCCAATTGTTTTTGGGCCGGACATTCAACACTTTTGTTCGGTTTCTGTGGACAACCGCATCCTGCACAGCATTTCCCTCATCGATTTCAGACAACGAAGTCTTGATCTCTGCCATGGCTTTTAACTTTACTTTAAGCCAATAAGTGGTGCAGCAATTTGATATTTCCTTTTCCATTCCAGGCCTTAAAAAGGCTGACATAAAGATTCTGTAATGGCTTAAAAAAAATTTAAAGTTGAGAGGATTGTACTAAATTTTAAAAAATAAAACCCTATTGGAAGCATTTAGTATCACTTTATATTTCGTTTAGGGCTTAACCAGTTTTATTTTAAATATAGAAGGTTTTAGTAAGAGGAAAAGGAAAATGAGTTCCGCTTATGCAATTCAACTAATTCACAGTTTTATCAGAATTGTGAACACATTAAAGTGCAGTTTATTGCCTAAGATGTTTGTCGAGATATATTATGAAATATTGAATTGTGAAATGAAATTGAAATTGAATTTCGTTTCGAGCTCAACAAGTTTCATTTTAAATAAAGAATTGCTTATGCAATTCGACTAATTCACTAGTTATGTCAGAACTATGAACACTTTATAGTGCACTTTATTGCCTAAGATGTTTGGCGAGATTTCTTATGAAACACTGTATTGTAAAATAAAATTGTGAATTGCATTCATTTTCCTGCTTTCAAGTGTTGCCGAATCGACTGCACTTTATTTACCATTCCGCCCTGAATCCATAAACACTTCTCAGCAACTTGTTGCAATTACAATGCTGTTGATAGGAAAACTTTTAATCGGCTTAATGCATAGCGAAACTATATAACTAATTTTTCGGTAGGCAAACCGATAACAGCAACAAAACAGCCATGAGCAACCGAAATTCTGTGGTTCGAGCTCGATGGCACTCACACTCGCGTCTTCTATAAACCCATAAATACGTTCTGCAGATACAGTAAAGGTAACATTAATGACAACACATACATGGACAAAGAAGTGAAAGGAAAACATGACTTTTGAATAAAAAAATTAAAAACAAAAATAAAATAAAAAAAGTTAACACTTAGATATTACAACAAATTAAAAAAAAAAAACCAAAATAAGTTGATAAAAATTATTTTATTTTTCTTATGGTTTGAAAAAAATAAGCTACATGCGAAACTTCTATCAATCCTATTTGGTTGTCTACATCTGTATAATGATTCTCATCAGTGTCGCACTTAGCTGAATATGCATAAAACTGTAATGGTACATAATTTCAATGCCTGCACAAACTTTAATTAAAACGAGTTTGCCGAGCGGTAAACATCAGTGTCCCGGGCGACAACCACATACACACAGATACGCAACCTAACGGATACATAGATACCCTGCCATGCCGCTTGACACGAGGCTCCTAATGAAGTGCATGAATACCTTGACAAGATGGTGGAGCCACCCGAAATCCGTGCAGCAGTGTGTGTGTGTGTGTGGGTTTATGCTCCCCCGGTGTGTGCGTGCCCATAATCATTTTGATGGGCACGTAAAATTCAAACTAAAATCACTAGAGCGTTGGCAAACAACGACGCATCTGCCGAAGGCAAGGAAAAATACGGGAAAAAACACATCAAACCGAGCAGGAAACTAATATACAACATTTGCACGTGACTTTGATATTGAAAATGCTTAACACGACTCGAATATATGTGTGTGTACACAACAAAGCCAAACAGCAGGTCAACAACAACTGTAGCCCATTTCGGATGTTTAACCGGATTTATGTACAAACTTTTGTCTATTTTTAATAACATTTATTTTTATGGCTTTGCCGGAAGCTTTATGCCATTTACCTCCTTTAGCACAAGTCAATTTATGGCTCCCTACTTGTTGATACTTACTTCTACAATAGTTGTCTGCCATGACTTCACACAATACCGACATTAAAGTGTAAATAGTTTTGCTATTGATCAGAGAGCAAAAGGAAGAATAGTTTCTGCGAACGTGCTTGGAATTTCTGGCAGGAAAATGCTGACCTCAGCTATTGGGAAATTCCTTGACCTCAAACCTGAATTGAAAATCTATTGAGTTTCGTGGTTTGGCTTGCCCGGTGATTAAACGGAAACAATAAAGCCCGATGGCCGAGCTTTAACTTATAATAGCCGCAGCTGTGCGATAAGCTAATGCAATAATTAGGTAATTAATCATATCAGACACAGATACCCACACGCAATTGCCCATTAAGTCGGCCCACTCCGGCGCATAAGTCCTGAAACACAGGCGTTGGCACAAACGGCTAATTAAAGATAAACAAAACACTTTAAAAATAACAACGAGGCGGCGAAAAGAAGGGGATGCAAACCACTCAGAAACTTATGAAAATTGAAAAGAAAATATTTAATTAGAAACACGAGAGTGCAGACAGAAAATTAAACGCAAAACGTTTACCTGTTGAGGAGAACGGTAGAGCAAAAAAAATAAACCGCGAGCGAATATGAACGAGGCTAATGGAACTCATTGTTCGCCTTGCCGTGAAGAAATTTTATGGTAATGCAATAATAAGCCATTAAAATAGGCCGTAGATATTGTGTTCCAATAATGGATTTCTTCTTGCTTGTCTGTTTTAAAAAGGTCACTTAAATAAAACGTGTTCAAGAATCAGTAATTCACTTAAGATTATACAAAAAATGTGTTCTGCATAAGAACCTTTAATGTGATACAAAGAAAATTAAAAAATAGCATACAGTATTATATGAATTATTTTACATTCACTGTTAACATTTTTTTGTACAGAAAAAACTGGTACAGATGTTTAAGTTCCGAGAACGCCTGTAAAACTAAATAAACGCCAACGGTTCGCCTGACATACCAATTAGGCTAACACTCCTGATTATGAATAAATTGCAGCAATGAGCAGGGGAACGTGGCCGGGAGTAAAACGATAAAGCCAGACGGAGTGAGGATTATAGAAAACAAAAGAGGGCGCCGAGGTCCAAACAATTTAAAGCTCATCAATTCAGGACAAAGCAGCGCGTTGAAAACAATTGAGCAGTTAATGTTTGTTTACCCCACGTCCGCAGAATAAAATGTGAGCAAAATGAAAGCAGATACAAGAGGGAGGACTCGAGTGAATTTAAAGGAAAAAAAAACCATTGTCGACTTTGCTTTTTCTTTTGCTTCTTTATTTTTTATTTTTTTGGTAGGCATTTTTGCGGGCAACGTGCTGGCGGCCGAAACTTTTCATAATTGAAATAAATAAAATACAACCAAGACAAAATTGGAGAATATATTTTGGGTCCGCTGGGGAAAGCGCCCAAACGAAAGCGGCCATCTATGTTTGTGTATCAATGGAAACTCATTTATTCGGATATTTTATAAATAATGCGGATTCGTTTTATGCCCGCTGGACTCGTTTGGCCAGAAATTTAATCAAGCTTCGGCCAGGCGGGCGGCGCAAATAATTTTCGCAAATTCATTTACGCATTTTCATTCGCCGACTCGACTTACCGACCTAGTTCGATCCCCTACCCATCGCCTTTTTCTCCGCTGGCATGCAAAGCGTTTTTTAATCCCCGGCAACTTCTGGACGCCCGAACAAACGCATTGGCCAATTTGCGGCTAGCTGGAAAAGCTGGGAAAGCGGAGAAGAAAATCCGGGGGCGATGGGCAAAATGAATAAGTGAAACTGAAGGTTGAAGGCTGTGCCACAGCCCTGTGGCAGTTGCAGGACCGATGACGGCGAACATTGACAAATGGGGCGAGGCCACTGACCGGTTTACTCGGTCATCTATAAGTTCCAGCTGACGAGCAGAAAGTTGCTCAATTTGGGCCGTCCTTGCCAGAAGCCACGGCACTGTATTGACAATTATCATAATGAGTGCGAAGGCCGAAAGTATCAGTCGCAAGAAAAGTATACACATTTTAAATATTGATGAGGCAAGCGAAAGTAAATGAATAAGCACTTTTTTGTTAGCATATTTCGTTACCGTAATCTCGTCAAAGAAAATATTTATTTCATTCGAATGGACTTCATTAGAATCCCAGATTTACCAAGAATTTCTTTGGTGACACAAAAACACAAAAGCCATGCCAAAAAACGATGGCTTGTATGAATTTAAACAAGAAAAAGAAAAATTAATTAATTTGGATTTAAATTTTTGTAGGGAGACATGATTTTTCATGAATGCTTTTTGTATTTATTAACATAAACATTAAAAACAAACAGACAATTTTTAACTGATTTTCATTATTTACTACGTAAGCAAGTGCACCAAGTTTTATCATCTGACTTTTGACGTTCGCTTTGGACGGCCTTGTGGTTCTGTTTACTTCTTTTTTCATCGCAAATATTAAAATCGAACTGCGTATGCCGTGTTGAGGCTTGGACCTTTCCTATGAGGTATTGGCATACGAAACAGATTGTCATTATTATGACCAAAATGCAGCCAAGACAGACCAGTATAATGGGAATCTTCCACAATTCATCTTCTTGTATTATGTGTTTAGGCTTTATGTTCTTTTTAATAAAGCTATAGCACTCATCCGTGCTTATTAGACCATTATTTGCTTTGCGCAGAACTTTATAAGCTGTTTTGCTTGGGAAAAACTTTGAACGACTCTCGGCACAAATAGTATCCAGCCAATTTATGTTGTTTAGAATAGGAATCATTTTATATTTTTCAATTGGAAAATATAATATACAGTTTATTTGATTTTTTGGAACAAGGTTGATCTGATCCCAGTTATTTACAGTTTCTAATACTTTATGTTTACTTCGTTCTCTTTCTTTTTTGATTTACCAAACAGTGTTAGCAAATAAAATGTCTTTATTGAGGGACACCTTTTAACCCTTTTCGAGCCATTTAAAAAACACAAATTCCAATAGCCGGATAAACTCTCATAAATCCTGGCTTTAAACTTCTTGGCTTTTATAAAGTCCGGACCGAAAGGCAAAGGCAAATGTTTGCGATAAACTACCTGGGCAACTTAAAGCAAGAGTCGAGAGCATTCCCATGACTCTTAGCGACTGCTTGTTGGGTCTTTTGCCAACACAAACTAAGTATGTTGATCCAATCAGAGGGAACAGCGACAACCAATCGTCGCAACAGCCGCAAAAACCCGGGATTCGGTGAATATATTTTCCTTGGGATTTGCGGCGGTGGGTTTTAGATTCGGATTCGCATTCGGTTTAGTCGTCTGTCAACTGTCGTCAGTCTGTCGGTGGTTAAAGTTTCGACCTCTAACCCTTGGTTATTATCATATTGCCGGGACTGCAGCTCACGACTCGGTCTTACTTTTTATTTATTTTCATATTATTCGAGAGCCGCGCGCTTTGCTCTACTTTCAATAACTGTGAATAAAGCCGAATGAATGAACTGGCTAACCTTGCCGTCGGCTCAACGCGCGGTGTGGGTGGAAAATGAGGCGCTGGCTTTTGCCACTCTGCTTTGTGTTCGGTTTATTAAAATATACATTTTCCCTTTTTTCATTTGGCTTCCCATCTTCTATACAGAGCGTTCTATCTGGCCGTGTCCGTGCGTTTTTCCATGGCCCGCTCTTTACTCTTTAGCTTGGTAAATTTTGCAGAAAAAATATTCTCGTTTTCTTTTTGCACGACGCCGCAGGTCAAAATGTCAGCAAAAACTGGACAATATACTAGACGTTCCGTACAGTAATTACTCGCAAATGGAAACATATTTTAAGGAAAATTCCATGCTAACTATAAAAAGAGAAATGGTAATAGAATGAATCACAATATTACAAGTAATTTAACTCGCTTAAGAATTTTTAGTAGTAACGCTTTATATGCCTGGCTGTAAAAATAAAAAATTCTGTGTTCCACTAAGGGGAACAGTATCCCTTGTTTTGATTTCCAACTGACCTCTGTATATCTATGGTCGTTGATTTAATTTTTTCATTCATTTTGAGGCTTGCGGCTTTTGCATATTTCATGCGCATTTGCATGTTCTTTTTTTTGAGCCCGTTTCGCCCTCGAAGATTTATTTGTCAGATACGCTGTTGTATTTGATTTATGAAGGTGCCCCCATATCCTCCATCTGCCAGGTTTTCTGTTCACCGATAAGCCGGAGGCTTTGAGCTGCCCAGGAGAATTGTGTCAAGCCTCTGAGCTTCTAATTCTCCTCTCGGCCAGGATTCCCCCTCCGCCAACAATGACTGTTGTTCGTCGTGGTCCGTAGATTGTTCAGGATTCCCACCTGATTTGCGTGTCCACCTGTTCGTCGAGATGCCCGACAAAAGGCCACTGGATCCACTGCAGCCGGTTCTCTACATAGAACACTGTCGCTATCGACAGATATATAGGAAAAGGGCTCTGCATCTCCACTCCTCGCTGGCGGAAGCTCTGAGTGCCATCCAGCCAAAGGTTAAGCTCCAGCTAAGGATCAACGACAGAGGCCCTCCTCAGGATGGATCCTTTGAGGTGGCGATTGCACCGCACCCCACTGAAGATCCTTCGGGGCGCCAGAGTGTGTGGACGGGGCTGAGGAGAATGCCAAGTGCATCAAAGGTTCCACATGTGGATGACATCATCACCCCGGTTTGTTTCGCCTTGAAACTTAGGGACCCCCACAAGGAATCACATCGAAGGATGTTGACCAATCTACGGCACAACGAGGGCAGTCGGGCCAGGAGAAGGGAGTTCCACTAAATCTTTAAAGTTATTCCTGTTAAGACATTAACTGCAGTGAAAAAAAATTTTTTTTTTTTTTTAATTTCGTTAGCCAGCAGAAGCAAATGCTTATTAAACTGAATAAAGAACTTAAAGCAGATTTTTATTGGTTAAATAAAAGAACTTTGCAAATAAGGTAGATCATAACAGTCAGTGACCTTGCCTTATAAAATTTCTAGTCAAATGACATCTATCCTTTAATCCTAATTAGAGTCGTACCACTCAACCAAAAATAATTGACTGAGCTGAACTGAATTTCTGCTTTTCGCCCCAACGAGACCTTAATAAATTTGGCGTCAAAAGACCACCAAAAGGTCAAGATTCACCATCTTGTTAATGTGAAAGTTCATATCTAAATTTGGCTGACTGAATTTCGTTATTTCGCAGAAAGAGAACGCTAAGATAACACTAAAACCCGAAACTAATGAAAAGACAAACTGTGTGCCGGCGGAAAGTGGCACTTGGCTCAACTAAAGTGTGATGTGTAACTGCAGACTGGCGGCAGTTATGGTAGCGCCAAAAGATGCAAATGAAAATTCCAACAGGCAGTCCTGCTCCTCCCCCATCCCCCTTCCCCCTTCACCCTTCCCCACCTACCCCTCCTCCCCATTTTCCTACTCATTTTCGCCGGGGGAGTTGCCCGTTAAGATTTTCGCCTCGTTTCAGGGATCTTTGGAGGAGCGGCAGAAGCTCAAGTTGAGTGCTGCATTTCGGCTTCATTGCATCTCGGTGAGCACACAGTGAGCGAAAGAAGTCCTCGCCGGGGGAGAGGAAAATAGGGGAGGAGGGGGTTCGGAAAAGGACAACAAGGAGCGGTGCATTGGCAAAGGCAAAAAGCACAATAAATCCCCCTCCTTAAAGTAGTTGTGTAATATTTTCCTTGAGAAAGTATTTCGTTGGCTGTCGACCCGTCTTTTTGCCAAAGAGTCTGCTTTCGTGACTTAAGTTTTCAACACACGCATTGTACACACACAAGCACACACACGCAGAAGGAAACACACGCACACTCATTAAAGTTAGGAGCACATACAGTCAGCGAAGGATATGCGGAAACCGTGGTGACATTCAATTATTTTTAATTATGGGTTCTCTTATAAACCAACATATATGAATTATTTGTAATGCAAAATCAAAAAGTTGAACCTGTTATTTTCTGAAATAACATCAAATTAGCTTTTAAATTTATTTCTTAGTTTGAAAATGAATTACCCATGTTTCTTTATACAATATTATTTATATATCAAATATAGTGCATAATAAGCAAGCAAGGTGTATTTTAATTAAAAGAAATTCCGAAGAATTCTCGTTGAAAGGTTACTCAACCAAATAAAGATAATTAGCTTTCACCGCCCAACAGGCAATTAATTCAAAGGTAGAGGCATTTAAAAATTTCCAAGAACTTGCAAAATATTTTTCTGAGAACTCGTATTTGCAAAACTCTTCATTCACCAGCATCCACTGTGCACTCCACTGTGCGCCGTGTGAGTCCTGACAGGACGTGCTGGCCTGGTCCTGAAAGGCAGCATAAGTAGTGGAAAACGGCAGCATATTAATCTTGCTAACAACAACAGCTAAAACAATAGCAACAGGAAAGGCCGCGAAGACATTGCAGCAGTACTTGCACTCCTTTCTTTTTCCTTCCGGCAGCCAGCGGAACATGAAACTAAATCGTTTGTGAGCCCTTTTTTATTTTTGCACAAAGTAAATGAACTTCATTATAAGTAAAACGTCTCTGGAGTTGCTTTTCCCAGCTGCCGGCTGCCATTTGCTTTTGTTTTCTTTCAGTTTTGCATTTTTGGCTTTCGGTTTCAGTGTCAGTGTTGTTAACACAAATGGCGCATTTTGTTGGTGTCTGGCTGTTTTTGCCGTTGCCAAAAAAAACTGCTGCAGACTTTTGAGAAGATTGCGCGATTTTTGACAGCATAAGAATCACGTTTCGCTTAAAGTCTGAGCCATGATTTATGTCTGAATTACTGTTTTTATATTCTTAAAGCTTAATTTGTCGTATATCATATTAAAGTACATAATTTTAGGCCTTAAGGGCTCAACATCCTTTAATCTCGTTAACAATGAAGTTTCCAGCAGTGCTTGCCTTGTATTTTCTTTTTCTTTTCATATTCATTTATTTCTTCTGCCCTTTTAATCAACTTTGTGTCATTTACATTTTTGCCGCTACTGCAAATATTTAAAATGGAAGTGTAAAAAATGTAAGAACTGACAAAAGAATAGCTGTTTACGCACATTTTGCCAGTCAGAGCTAACACCCTTCACTTTGCTTGGACAGCAGCTCGTTTCCAGAGCCATGGAAAAAGTGCAGAGTGCATGTAAAATGATTTTAATCATATTTCAAATTGACATTGTCGTTGGCCCTGATGACATTCAATTAGTGAGCAACACTTTTTCGAGCTGTAGCAAACGATAAGTGATTGGTTTCTGGCTTGGACGTCTCTGCTCTTCGATTTTGTTACATTGCAAACGCTCTTTTTAGCTGACCCCATTAATCAATTTACAAAATCCTTGATGAGTGGTTATTATTCTTCTTGTTCATCTTTCAGCTTTATCCTTGCAAAATTAGTGATGATACACTCTTATCCTAGCATTTAATATATCTAGTGGATATTTTAGTTTGGAAACACTCTCTTAATTAAACAACTGCATGTATTTTCATTTTCAGTCCAATCACTGACCTCGCCATTTCAAAAAGTTAATTAAATTTTCTTCTCATATTTATTGATGTACGTTGAAAATAATACAGCAAAGCTCTGACTGCATTTTAAATAACTCAACAGTATTCGATTGTTGCTGGCTTCAATTTATATTTGCCAAATTTTTTTAAATGCGTGGCTGATGTGGAAAGTTTGAATAGGCTAATTGGCATTTTGTTTAAATAAATGTTTGTGTCAGTTTCAGTGCGCATTATTTGTCTGATATTGATATTATTTCGACTCCCCCGAATTTTATAATTAAAAGAGTTAGTGGTGATAAATGGCACAGGTAAGCTGCAGTTATAATACTGTTTTAATAGGCGTAATATATAGGCTTTGATGGTTTTGCAGTCATAATTTGCACTAACCGCTCATCAAGCTTAGCCAAAAGAGAACAAAAAGTAAAAGCACTGCGGCAGAGTCAATTTCGATATCAATTAAAAGGCAGAAGAGAATACGGAATATGGCTCGAATGCAAATTCCGTTTTTGACATTTTTCCAGACCAATTGTGGGCGGTTGGGTGTTGTCAAGGTGAGCGAAACGAAAAGGTCAATCGAACACTGCTGACGGGCTGACAAGTCTCGCAGTGCCTGGCAGTCAACCGTGAGTCCTTTCTGATGGCCAAGACATGTTCGGATGCATCGGAACCGCATGGGCTCGCCCTTAAATTGGAATCGCTCAGGTGAACCTGGAAAATATGGCATACACTGCAAAGTAAATATTCCCTTTCAATTAAGTTTTTATAAAGGGTTGAGTGCAATTTACATTTAAGTGTATACTTAAGGGTAAAATAATTTCTGGGTCAGTTACTAAATTAAGAGTAATTAATATTAATTGCTGGTTTTATGTGCGGTTCATAAATGTATGTGAAATTTGACTTAATATATGACCTACTAACAAAATAAATGTGTTTATTATTTAAATTAAAATTTTAAACTTCCTCATGCTTACAAAATCAGTATGATTTGCATGTACTATGATTAGCCTAGTCCGAATTTCCACAACTATGCTAATATGGTTACCAAGGCTTCTCAGCCTCTGGAGCTTCTGAATTGTTGTCAAAAAACCAGTCACATATAACAAGCAATCCCAACTCCAATCCCTTATCGCTGGGAGAGATGTGAGTCCCAAAGAGACACCCCACACACACACATCGCAAGCAACAACAACAACAACGAGGACTGGTCCTGTCCAAGTGTCATTCCGTGATGATCTATGGATGGGAACATAAATTTTGAGAGCTCAACTCTGGGGGCGTGACGGCAGCGACCAACGGACATCGATGCCACCGACGAGAATCGAATTGAAATTTGGAAATTTCAAAAGTGATTACAACTATACTCGGCTTTTTGGCTCGGCTGTTGGCGAATTTCAGGCGCTAAAAACTGATTGCCGGAAATGCCTGTAATTGGTTGCACATGCAACCACCAAAAGCGGGCGGTGTAGTTTCTGTATTTTGGGGGAAATGGAAGTGGTTTATTGCTGATTGGGTGGCCTCCACATGGGTATTGTGGCAGCAGCGGTTTCGTTGCAGTTTTTAGCATTATTGTTATTATTTTTGCGGCGAGGGCGGAGAGCGTTGGTTAATGATTTATGCATTCATTGTGCATAGAAATGGCAATGCAGTTGTGTGGGTGGAGAATGTGTGGAGTCGAAAAGGGGTCCTCTGCTAATTTAAATGCACATTTGGGGCACTTGCAGCAGCGGGCGATGTTTTTTGGGGGAGGATGTTTTTGGGTCGAGGTGGTGACATCGCATTGCAACCGCATTGCCGTCGACATCCTCCACTTCTGTGATTTATGCTGCTTTTCAGCCATTAGCCTAACATTCTTGTGCCGTTAACAGTGCAGACTTACCACTAACATGAAAAGAGCCAACAGAAACCTTTTGAAAAGAGCAAGCTGTGTCCTTCGTAAGAGTGAATTTCCCAAAGAGCGCACTCTGTTAGACAAAATTGTGTCTCTCTTAGCCACTGTTAGCCATTTTAAGAGCTTTTCCAGCTCTTTTGCCTTCAAATTTAACATGATTTAGTCGGCTGAGCTCTTCATTTGCAGCACAACATAAGGTTCGTTGGTCTGCTAGTTCCATAGGTCAGTAATTTTGGCTAAAAACAATAACAAAACCAAAGCACGTGATGCCATAAATCATTCGCTTTCGACCAGAGTTTTTCCTGTCCAGAAAACACAACTGCATTGAAATGCTGTAAGACCATTTTACCAAAAAGCAAAAGTAAATAGAAGTTACAGTTTGAAGTCACTTATGTTTTTAATGGCTTAGCATTTTTTAAAATAAATATTTTTCTTATATTTTTCTTACTCTGTTTTGTATCTCTTAGTTTTTTTATAGATAATTCTTATCCAAAATTTACAATCATGCTGCAGAATGCTCTTAATT